GCCATAGATGCTCAATGTTATCTTTATGAGATGCAGAAGACAACAGAAGAGAATTGACATTAAAGGAAGAGTCAGTTTTATTGCTTGAGTAAAGAGTATCTACATTGTTATGTGACTGAGATGACCTATTTACATTTGACAAGGATTGTAGAGGTAAATTGTGACTCTTTCCTATATTTACAGCATCAGTCAATGTAGGAAAACAAGAATAAGAACAAAGATTGATAGGGACTGAAATTGAATCAGACTCTGAACACCCATGCCACTTAGGGCAAAGGAAGTACAAGCCACTCCTTGCCTTACCAATCCCCAGAGGACTCTTCATTGAAGGAGCTTGCATCATACAAAGGTATTTACGGAAGTTAACTATGCAGTTGAGGTAATCTGTCAAGGAATGAATAGAGATGAGGTTGTATTTGAAAGTAGGCATATACAACACTTTGACTAAGGTTAACATAGGACCAAGAAATGCATCTCCAATTTCTGTCACTTTCACTCTATATCTGTTAGGTAAAGTAACTAGGAAAGGGTAGGACAAAGTTCTAATATTATTTAAAAAAGATTTTCTATATGTCATATGATTTGAGGCTCCACTATCTAATATTCACAAGTCAGCAACTGATTTAGAACATCTACACACGGTTGTTTAAGCAATCTCTTTATAAGTAGAACAAGCTAGAATACATACGTTATGTTTGCAGCTCCACAAGTCATGTTGTTATTAAGGCCTTCTCCTGTGTTTCATCCTGGGAATTTCTCTAGTAAGCTGAGTAGTTGGTTGTGCTGCTCCTTTGTCAGGCTCTGAAGTCCCTGACTTTGATTGCCATCTTCCATCTCCTCACAATTTGCATGAACATTTGAAGCAGGTGATGCATTTCTCCCCTTTTTAACTTGAAATCTTGTAGGAAACCATGAATTCTATAACAGTTGTGCCTGGTGTGTCCTGGCTTTTTACAATAGTCATAAAACATTCGAGACTTGGCAGGTGGATAATTTGACTTGTTTGAATTGTATGAGTTTGGCCCAGTATTGCTTCCCCTTTGATTGTAATTTGTTCTAAATTTGGCATTGCCAGGTTCATTTGCACTCAATGAAGTGGACTCCATGACTAATTTGTTGTTTGGTCTGACTTCTCTCTATTTTTCTTCTTGGATAAGGATAGAAAAAGCCTATACTATGTTGGGCAACGAATTCATCATCAATATACTACCTTCTCACAAATGTATAAACCTCATTCAGGCCCATTAAGAACTGAATTAGTCTTCGATCCTACTCAGCTTTATGCATGTTTGCTTTTGCACCATAAGTACATTGGCAATCGCACTGTGCATATGCATTCAAGGTGTTCAATTCCTCCCAAAGTCGTTTCATTTTCGTGTAATACCCTGTGATGTACAAAGCTCCTTGACTAAGGTCACTAATCTCCTTTTGTAGTTGATAAAGCTTACCTCCATTAGTCTGATCTTATATGTCTTCCAACTCCTGCCATAATTCCTTAGCGTCATTGACATATTGTAGACTATCTGCCAGATCTTTTGAGAGTGAACTCAAAATCCATGATGTAACCATATCATCGCAACGAGCCCACTGATCATAAGTTTCTTCATCAGTGTTAGGTTTCTTACACTTTCATGTAATAAATTAAAACCGGCTTTGTTCTTCACTTGCAATGCTCTAAGAACTCCTCTTATCTAGGATTTGTAGCCGGTTCCGTCAAAAAACAACGGGATCTAACGTCGTTCTGGCACTCTCCGATGGGTGCATGTACAGTGGGTTAGTCGAATCCAAATTACTAGTTGTACCTTGAGTTCTCTTATCTCTGGCCATCGATTGTAGTAGATTTTTAGAAAATTAGAGTAACTGATCACTCAATTTGAAGAAACTAGGTGAAAATTTCAGAAACCCTTCCGTCAAGGTGTGAACTCGTACTTTCCGATTTTGAGAAATGAAAAGAGAAATTGATGAAATTGAAGATGATTTATGTCGAGAAATTAGAGCTGTGCTCTGATACCATGTCGAGATTGGAGCTAAGATAACAGACCAACCTCCATTGTTGACTGACCTTGAGCTCGCATAGAGAGAAGAAAGGAAGATTTTAGAGAGATGATGAAAATAGAAAAAACTTCTATGTATTTTCATTAACTAACTTCAGTACTTATACACGTGTAAGAAAAAGAAAAACTAATAACGTATGACAGACATGTGTATGACAGCTAATTAACAGACTACCCTTGCAACTAACTCATCTCCTAAGCTAACCAACTGACTAACTCACTCAATTAACAAATAAATACAATGCAACAATATGCTACAACTCTATAATCTCAATAGACCCCTTCATCCATCAATTCTTTATTGCATGTATATCTACTCGTTGTTTTCATCTTTATCATTATTATATTTTTCTCTACCTTCATAGAAAGAAGCCTTGTCATCCAATTTTGATGGATGAAAGTAGGGATATTTTTATCCTTCTTTTATATGGAAAATCTGTTACCTACCTACTCAAGATCCCTCGTTGTAAAGCTACTACATAAGCAGTGTTGAAACCTTTATTTGGCTTCTTGCTATCAATATAATCCTTCAAAAGCAGTTAACTTTTAAATTCTTGATAGCATTGTAGAAAATATATTTATTTTCTAAAAATGATTAGAAATTCGAAGAGGAGAAGTATTCCTAATCGTCGTTTTCTCTTGATAAAAACTGGAGGAAATGATATTTATTTACTTCTCTCAACTTGGCTAGAACAAAATAAACATAGTACCACGCATTTATAGGCATTCTTGTATCATGCTTTTTAAATTCCAAAGTACATGTACAAAATCATGCATGTATCCTTTGGAAATTTATTTTCGAAGTAAATTCATATACTTGGGATGAGTCTAATACATAAATTTAGATAGTTCATGTAATTATAAACTTAATGTAACAATACATGTATGTACGTTTTGCACATGTATATGGGAAAGGAAAAAGTCTAGATAAAATAGTTGCACGTACTGGACTAGATATATTCCTAGAATTAAGTACCTTTTAGCCATTTTATTTAAGGAAGTTGAGAGAAGTAAAAAGAGTACATTCCTCCACTTGTCTTGAAGAGAAACCATGATTGAGAATCCTCCCCGTTTCAAAAATTTTCAACATTTGGCATCAAAGTTAATTGTCTTGAGAAACCTGTGGACGAAGATTTGAAAATGAATGATCTTCAGATTGAGAATGGGACGGGGAAGCACGAGGCTGAAGACATTATATTTTTAGGTAGTAGAACTACGTATGGAGATAGAAATTAAGTAGCTTTTGAAAGATTTGAGGATATGGAACCCACCGAGGTATTTAATCCTGATAAAGCAGTTGCCTACATGGAGTAGATGTATGAGGAAGAATCTTGAATAGATAGGTAGCAAATAATGTCGCTGCCATGGGAAAGATGGATAACCTCAATCTCATTCATCATAGATTGGACGGAAACAGTACTTTCTATATATGAAGTCAGAAAAAAGATAATGATGACAATGATAATGATGATGAGGGACACGGAGAACAATTGATGGATGATGCTATAGCTGAAAAAATATGCTATAGACACAAGAATAAGTTATGGATATCTTTAGCAAGCTAAGACATTAAAGATTGATGTGTCCCAAAAATCAAAATGCCTATTGTAATGAATCAATTATTTTAAAGGAAGATGCGGGATAATTAAATTAAATTCATCCAAATTAGCACATGAATTTACTGAGTTCATGTTTTAAGAAATCGATGTAACAATGATAGTTTTGTACGTACATGTATTTGAGAAAGGGAGAAGTCTAGAGTTAAATAAGGTACATAGTGGTATATCCATAATTTTAAAATTTTGGGTACTCACTTCCTTTAAGGTAAAGTTGTTACCAATCACATAATATAAGTGCATAACTATTTGCCACCATAAAAATATAGGTAATGAAAAAACTACCGTTAATATTATCATTGCGGAAAAAACTTTTAGATACAAGACATAGTGAACTACTAATAATAATATCATTATTAAAAAATATTCTAGTCACAATTGTGCTTGACGATTTTTCATATATATATATATATATATATNTTCTACTTTTATAGTACCTCAAACTTTTTTCTTTTGAGCCACACAAATTATTAAGTGAGCCACAAAAAATATTAAGAGAGACACGTTCTTTTCTTTTTCAATATCTCTAGCTTTAATCAAATCTTGGTTCTTACTTTTTCGCGTTTATGTGCCACAATGAGACAAATAAATGAAAAAGAAAACATAGAAAAGAACAAAAAGGAAACATCAACAATTGAAAGAAAAAGACTTGATTTGGAATTGGGGAAAGAAGAGAAAGTCAATGTGTTGTGGAAAAGTAGCTAATGTTTTGCTTAAGAATCGTACTCATGCACCTCCAAACACCTCATGCGTTAACTTTTTATTTACTAGGTATTGACCATTCTATTTTAGTTCTCTTACTATTTTCTATATAACTACCAGAGCTCACGTTGGGGTTAATGGGTGCTTGAGCACAATAAATTCATACCAAGATCCACCCCTGCTGGTCTAGGGTACAAGTTGGAAGAAATTTTTAAATATCAAGCCACTATATATAGACATTTTTTTATTTAAGGCAAGCTCAGAGACTTGAAGAAGAATATTTCCTCCACTTGTTTTCCAGCGCTATAATTTGTCATCTTTTGTTGGTTAAGAGGAAGGAAAAATAGAAAACAGATGTTGTTTGCGTTTTGGTTCCAACATTACAAGTAAATAGCATGAAGTCATGTAGGAATATCTTAGTTGTTTTATATCTCTTGATCACTTTTCTTTCAGTTTTAGACTAGCAAAAATCTCATGTATAAGTTCGTCGTCTATCAGTGCAAAAGTGTGTTTATAATGTTCTTATTAATCTCCTCATCACCAAATAGCATATATAATTTCCACCTTTGATATCTTGGCAATGTAGACCTTCCAATTGACTAATATCTTAGCTTTTCCTTATTATCAGCATGAAATCAATATTTGACAGATATAATGAAGAGAAAGAACACCATCAATTGTTGACACCCTCTTCAGAGGCTAGGGTAATCTTCTACTCATTTTACTCCTTACATATCCGCAGACTTCACTAACATTAATAATCGTCTAAACACAACTTACTTAGCTCAATTCAATCTAAAATTTTATCTAGCCATGAATGTTCAATTGCCTCTGACGTTTCTTAACTGCCAGTTGTGGCAGACAGAGGCAGAAAGGTTGAGACAACAAATGGACCATCTGCAAGAGAACTACAGGTTCACATATTACTTTTTCCAAAAGCAAGCATAATATCCGATCCCCTTCGCCTAGCCGATGCATATATTTTGTACAATTAAGCAATGTCTAGTGAAGGTATTCTAGTGTAGATGCACATTAGCTAAAAAATATTTGAAGTGAATATATATATACACTACAAAATGAATTCTTATAAGCATTTGTAGTGATTATAGCATGATATTCTCGCTATTCCTCATATATATCAACACTAGGAGTGACAAACGAGCGGGTCGGGTCGGATATGGTTCGGGTCGAAAACGGGTAATAAAAAAGGGGTAAATTATCCGACCCGACCCATATTTAATACGGATAAAAAACGGATTATTATCCATGACTTCTTGCATATGATCACTTTTGGGAGAATTCTTAGTTTCCCTAACTTGAGAAATCTCCAATTTGAGGCTTTAAGTTAGACCCATTGGTTATCCACTAGTTACTCATTGGTTATCCATTTTCTAAATGAATAATATGGTTCTTATCCATATTTGACCCGTTTTTAAATAGTTCATTATCCGACCCATTGTTTAATGAATAATATGGGTGGTTAACTGTTTTCTTTGAACCATTTTGCCACCCCTAATCAACACTATACAACATTGATTGTGATAACAAATGTCAAAAACACTCCAAAGTAGAGGTGTATTTTAGTGTGAAAGATCCTGTTTACTGATGAAGTTGGTGTACTCTACTTGAACAGTTGTTGATGTCGAATCAGTCGACCAAAATATACCAGAGATTGAAAAGATAAAGCTATCTACCAGAGATTAAACTTCAATGCCTCAATTATAGACAAGGATTTGAGGAGCAAGGGAGAGATTCATTTGAAAATATAAGGCAGTTTGTAAGTGTCAAAATGTCCACATATATTTTGCAGGAGAGAGCTGAATAACTACATATCAAGCTAAGATCATCACATTCACAGAATAATTTGGGACCTTTCTTTGTTTAATATTAATTTCCACGGTTATGCTTGATCTAAATCTGGACTGAGGATACATGATCTTATTCTAATTACGTTTAAGAATGAAAAATTTATATCCAATCTACTATCATCAATTACTTACTAGTAAAACAAAGGCAAGACCAATCTGACACGTATTATGCTGATGTCTTTGATTATCAGCAATGTTATAGAATGTCAACAACTATCAAAGTTTATAGTCAGGTACATGTGAAAAAATATTGCAGGAGACTTAAGGGTGAAGAACTTTCAGGCATGAGAATCAGTGATCTCGACGCTCTGGAAAACCAACTGGAAATGAGATTGAAAAATATCCGCACTAAAAAGGCAAGAAAATCTCTTCCTTATCCAATTTTTACATCAGTGTTCAATATTTCACGAGCTTTCACGTTTCTGCAGGAAAAAATGCTTACTGATGAGATAGAAGAATTAAATCAAAAGGTTTTTAATCACAGTATATAAATCACTGTAATTAGGAGCTGTTTTGCACTTGTTCTAATTACTTACCACCTCTAATTAATATCCTGCAGAGAGCTCTTATTCATCATGAAAATATAGAACTTTCTAAGAAGATCACTCTCGTCCAACATGAAAACAGACAACTTCTTAAGAAGGTACAGATTTCTGTTATAAACAAAACAGAGATGTCTACTTCATAATTAAAATTAAATACTAGTTTTTTTTTCTTTTTTTCTCAGGGTTATGGAGCAATTGACATTAGAAAAGAAGAGGGAAGTTTCAGTGGACAAGCGAATTCATGTGTTCCAGTACACGTCAATAGATCAGAAGAAGACGAAATTAGATTAGGGTAACATTCTTCAACTTGTACAGAAACCTTTGATATAGCAATCTCATAGAATAATTACAATGTGTTGATTGAAACATATCAGGTTACAACTGCAATAGCTCTGATCGCTGATGACAGTGAAAGCCTAGCAGAAAGCATGGCTTGAGTTAAGGCCTTGGAAATACCACACTAGCGAGAGTAAGGATAGTTTAGCATCCAAAAAGTAATGCCCTCTCATCTTCCTCTCGTGCCAAGTGATAGGTAGAGCTATTTCACCTCCATTTTGTCGCGTGCAAGCAGAGTGAAAATTACACGTGGCTTTTTGTTTCAACAACTAATTCTCACATGCTTATATACAATGACGTGCATTTTTCTACTTCCTTTTTCTTGTAGCTAAATACACAAGTTACTCTTGAACTATGAACAAAATCTTTGTTAAACATTTTTTACGGACCAAAATTACCTTGGACGGTCGACCTTTCCGGAGTATGCATAAGACATACTGCTTTTTTTTCTTGACCAGTTTTTGAATAAAATTGTGATACATGTCCTTACTTTTATTAAAAAATAAACCACTGTAAATTACAACTATACCCTTTAACCATCTTCTCCATTTAATCTCTCTTCTCTGCAAATTACCCACTTTCATCTCATCTTCCCAAACACCTCATAAAATTACATGTCTTCTCTGTCACCCTTCTCCACTTTCATCTATCTTCCATCTCCGACAAGCAGCCCATGATATAAATTTGCTGCATGTACAATATATAAACTAAAAATAAATTTTATACAACTTATTTTTAATTTATCTATAAGTTTCATACATCATTTTTACTTAGTTAAATACAACTACAACATCATACAACTTAAATATAATTATCAAACAAATTTTATACAACGATATGTTTTTTGTATATATTTTGTATGTGTTGTGTTCTTCTTCTCTAAAATTCCAACCAAAACTTCCTCTCTTAATACAATTATGATACATGTCAACAACTTTATATAAAAAGATAGTATTTATAGCTTAAATACAAATTTCATACAACAATTCATATATTATATAACTATTTTTAACTTTCATACAACATTCGAATAAAAAAAGTATGACTACAACAAAATACAATTTACATACAACTATAATACAAACTTTAATATAATTTAGTGCAATTTTGCATGTATATTGTATGTCATGTCTTTTTCTTCTTCTTCGAATTTCAATCTGAAAACCAGCCAAAATTAACTCTAAGATCTTCACTAAACACTCTCAAAATTAAGATATAAACTCCAAAGAATATTTTCAATTATTTGCAAAAACACCCAATCCAAATAAATAATATTTTTTGAAAACCCTAATTCAAATTCAAAGTTTTTTTATGGCTGTCAATGGTGGAGATTCAAATACCTTTAAAATTTATTGATTGACAATTTTAATTCGAACATCAATTTTGCAAATATGAAAGAAAATTGCTAAGTTAAAACTATATAGTAAAAGGATTTTTTATTTTTTTTAATCAAAAACCACCATGGTGGTGGGGGTTAGGCCACGACCCCTACCAGTTTATTAATATCACAAAAATAGTACATGGAGGATTTAAATCCAATAATGAATTTCCTGGAAAAATAAGGACAAAATAGATGAGAGAAGAGAGAAAAATACAGAGGCCACGACCCCTACCAGTTTATTAATACCACAAAAATAGTACATGGAGGATTGAAATCCAATAATGAATTTCCTGGAAAAATAAGGACAAAGTAGATGAGAGAAGAGAGAAAAATAGAGAAAATAGAAGGAAAAAAATAAGGTTGGAGAAAGAACAAAGAAGGTGGGTGAGAGAGAGAGAGAAAGAGGGAGAGGGAGAGGGAGCAAAGATAGTATAACTGCTATTCTCTATTCAATTTCTATTATAAAGGGATACTCATTTAATACTAATTTGTATATAATTGGTAAATTATATATCAACTTGTAATTAAGTTAAAACTTCAATAGTGAAGGTAAATAAGTTTTTTAAAGGGGAAAATACAGGACTACCTATAAAAGTGAAACTATTTACCCTCCCCTACCCATTAAAGAATTCTACCCACTAAATAATTACAACTCCTACCCATTTAATAAATAAACGACAATAACAAAATAACTACCCACGCTTTTAATGCCCTACGTATAAAAACGCAGAAGCTGCTCAAAATTTCAGAAAATTAGCGCACAAACGTGGAGAAACGCAGAAGCTCTTCAAAATTTCAGAAAATTAGCGCACAAAATTGAGATTTCCACTGATCGAAGAGCAGTAAGTGTGAAAAAACAGATCGAAGATGCTGATTCGAATTTTAATTTCGCTGTTCTCTTCAGATTTTGATTTTGCTGTTGGTTTGATTTTGATTTCGGAGCTAAACTTCTGAATTTTAGCTGAAAATTCTAATCTAGGTTTGGAGATCTAGAGGTTTGATTTTGCTGTTGTTTTGTTGAAATTTCGAACACTGTTGATTCCGAACACTGTTGAAATTTGCATTGTTGAGATTCAATTTTGGACATAAAAGTGATTATAACTTTAGAATCATGGAAAATATTCCAATTCTGCTGCAACATAGTGGAGAATGGGATGATAACAATAATTTCATAAATTTTCATGTTGATGCAATTCTAATAAAGACCTATTGGAAATTTGAACAACTTCTCAGAGAAATTGCAAAGCAACTGCAAAAGGACAGTAAAACAATAGTTATTCAGTATGCTATTGCTCAAGGATATCCACCAATTACAATTTGCAGCGATATGAGTGTTAGTGTTTATATGGAATTGAAAAAATCAAGTGCAGGGATGACAACACTTCCCCTGTGTGTGTCGTTTGCTAAAAACACTATAGCTGCAAGCACCTCCAGTTTCGATGTTGCTCCAATTTCACCAGAAATTGCACAATTTGAAAGCACTGATATGATTACTATGTTTGATGTACAAGAAGGAGATGACGCCATTTTAGAACTTGATGATGCAAACATCATAACTGATCAATTTCATCAAAATGTTGAAAAAGGACAAATTTACGAAGACAAGAACCTGTTGGCTCTCGTTATGAAACAGTATGCTGTTAGAGAAAAATGTCAATATCGGGTTCATAAATCATGCTCAAGAAGGTTCGTCTGCATCTTTTCAAGTAAAAAACTATGTGATACCTATATAGTATATAAGTATGCTAAATCAGTATACTATGAGAGTATGGAATTGTATTGGTTTGTCTTTGTTATTATCAGTAAAACATAATACCAATATAGTATATATGTATGCTAAATCAGTATACTATGAGAGTATGGAATTGTATTGGTTTGTCTTTGTTATTATCAGTAAAACATAATACCAATATAGTATATATGTATGCTAAATCAGTATACTATATGAGTATAGAATTGTGCTGCTTTGTCTATATTTTTATCAGCAAAATATGATACTGATACAGTATATAAGTATACCAACAGAGTATACCATGTGAGTATATAATTGTACGGATTTTTGTGTGTGTTTTTTATCAATAAAATATGATACATAACTGTATTTATATTATAAACAGGTATATCCTTGAATGCGTGGATGAAAGATGCACTTGGAGACTTAAAGCATCAAGCCTGCGAGCATCAAATCTTTTCAAAGTGACAGATTTCAATTCTGTCCACAGTTGTTTAACTGATAAGAGATTTTGTTCACAAAAGCAAGCTGTCTCAGCGTTTGTTGCAGTTGTGGTACAAGATAAACTTGTTGACCCGAAAACCATATATACACCAACAGATATCCAGAGAGACATCCAAAAAGCATATGGTATGGATTTAAGCTACATGCAAGCATGGAGATCAAAATAAAAAGCAATACAATTATTGAGACGATCACCAAGTGAGTCATACAAGAAAATGCCAACATATCTTTATATGTTAGAGTACGCTAACCCAAGATCAGTGACACGAATACACACTGAAGGAGATGGGAGCTTCTTGTGTGCATTCATAACTATATATGCATCGATTAGAGGATGGGTCTATTGTAGGCCAATAGTTGTAGTTGATGGAAGTTTTTTAAAGTCAACATATAGAGGGACCATACTCACGGCTTCCACGCAAGACGCAGAGGGTAAGAATACAATCCAATTACATTCAGTTAAAGAAACAAAAAATATTTTCAAATATTTATGATACAAGTATACTAACAGAGTATATAGTTGTTTTGCTACACACCTGCACGTACCTATAACTATACTACTATATGAAATACTAAATTAATATTTTGTGTACAATCCAATTACATTCAGTTAAAGAAACAAAAAAAAATATTTTCAAATATTATATGATACCTGTATGGTATACAAGTATACAAACAGAGTATATAGTTATTTTTCTACACACCTGCACCTACCTATGACTATACTACTATATGAAATGCTAAATTAATATAGTGTGTTGTAATTGATATTTTGTTCTTTGGGTTTACAGGACAAATTCTACCCCTCGCATATGCAATTGTTGATTCGGAAAATGATGCATCGTGGGAATGGTTCTTCGTGCAGTTGAGAGAAACCTATGGACAAAGAGAGGGAATGTGCATTGTATCAGACAGGCATGATGCTATATGGAAAGCAACTTCAATTGTCTATCCAGAAGTCCCTCATTGTGCATGTATGTTCCATCTGTGGAACAACATAAAGACAAACTTCAGGAAGAGCCAAAAACAAATCAAAGAAGTATATTTTGCTTTAGCAAGAGCATACACTGTTGAAGAATTCAACAGGCATATGGCAGAGTTAGAAGCTATTGATAGTAGAGTGAAAACATACCTGATGGATATTGGATATGATAAATGGTCCCGGGCGCATTCCAAGGCAAATAGAACCATGACCATGACATCGAATATTGCGGAATCAGTAAATGCAGCAAACAAGCACGCAAGAGACCTCCCAGTTGTGAATTTGCTTGACTTTATGACAACATTGATTCAAATATGGAATTACACCAATCGGAAGGATGTAGTGGAATCATTTATGAAGATTGGTGCAAAGTATGAAAAAATATTAGTAGATAATACTATCTTATCACAGACGATGACAGTATGCATTTTCAAAATCATAAAAACACTGCATGTACTGTATTTTTACATTTTTACCTTAGTGATTTCACTAAACAACTGAATATTGTTATTTAAAAAATACTATTACTTCATATAGCTAATGACTTTTCTTAATTAAAATTATTCTAGGTGTTGCCATCAACTGAATTCTTACATTTAGTAATTGATGGCCAAACAAGAAATGTGGTGCGCCTACATGAAAGAAACTGCACTTGTGGGAGGTTTCATCTAGACGATATTCCACGTTCACATGCAATGGCAGTTATACAAAAATTCCATATGGATTCATACAAGTATTGCTCGGATTACTATAGCATAGACTACTTGCTGAAAACATATGAGATACCAGTAAATCCATTGC